TGCCTTAAAAAAATTGTATCATAAATTGGATAAGAGCAAAAAAAGTATATTTCTCTGTTTCCAGTCCTAATAACTTTACTGGTAAAACTTTGGAGTTCATCCTAAATCTATCCCTTTCTTCTTGTTACTGATAGGCGACAAAAGCAATGAAGCCTATATATACAACTATAAACAATTACTGTGATCTACCCTCAAAGTATATATACAAAATTTGTGTTTTAGACAAGATTTGGCTAGCTCTTAGATACACAAATATCTAAACTGATTAAATCTTGTTTGGACAAAAAAGAATGGTAGCTTAGTAAAGTCGTCTTACCAAAGAAATTAATGAACTTCAATTGCCACATAGGAAATATTATTGCAGAAGAAACACACTAAAATTTAAAAAATTAATTACTCAGAGTAACTATGCTAGTTATACTGGAATTCTTTCATCAATTATCTTTGCCCTAAAACACTTGTACTTCAAAACAACAGAAAAAGTACTATTGGAATAAACTATGCGGAGGAACCTCAAAGGTGAGAGCATGGAGGGGATGTGACAGGTGCTAGAGACAAGCTCACAACCTCAGGAACTCCAGGAAGGCACTCCTCTAATTTTTTTTTTTTAAAGATTTGTTTTTATTGGAAAGTCAGATTTACAGACAGGAGAAAGCTGGTTCACTCCCCACGTGGCCACAGCAACCAGAATTGAGCCAATCTAAAGCCAGGAACCAGGTTTCCCATGTACGGACAGGGTCCCAAGGCTTTGGGCTATCTTCTACTGCTTTTCCAGGCCACAGGCAAGGAGCTGTAAGGGAAGGGGAGTAGTCAGGATGTGAAATGACACCCATATGGGATCCTGGTGCATGTAAGGTGAGAAATTTTGCCATTAGGCTACTTTGCTAGGTCCTCCAATTTTATTCTTATGCAGACTCTGGTAGGGCAGCATCAATGGTTCAAGTAAGTGGGTTCCCACCAAACACATGGAAGACCTGGTTTGAAATCATGACTCACAGCTTTGGCCCCTGGTTCTACTTGTGTCTATTTGGGGAATGAACCAGGAGATGAAAATGCTCTCTTCCATGTGCATTTGCTCACAAACTAATGGGTTTTTTTCTTTTTAAAATTGTAACACTATGGTATTCATGCTATAAATCAATGGCACTGACATCTAAGTAAATAAAATTAATATATGTATAATCCTAGAACCAGGCATATTTCTCTTAATTCCCAAGTAATTTCAAATTCATGAATGAATAATGATAGCAATATAACTGAAGTTACTTTGATGCTCTTAGATATTAAAACATGAAAGAAATTCCTTGCTCAGTAAGTTTAGAAGTTAATGAGGTAACTCTGTCATATGAGTATCTAACTCATATAACTCTGTTATATGAGTATTTACTTTTTTTTTTTTTTGCAGAAATTCAGAAAAATATATGTTCTACTGGTGTGCAGCTACTTGTACTTTCTTCAGAGAAATACCTAACAGACTTCCCAGGGGGGAAAAATAGAGTAGAAAAGAATTAAGATGAACTCCCTCGTTATTGTAAGGACTAAGACTTCCTATTTTAACCTCAAACACATGGGTCTTAAACAGGGCATGTGGAAAACCATCTTTCACAGAAAACAGAAATCCATTATTTGAGCTTGAATTAGCAATATTAAATTCTCAATATGTAACTTCCAAAACTAACACATACAATTTCTCTTCCCAGTTTACAGATCAGAAAAACTTGAGCAATTACATCAGCATTAACTATGAGTTTTAATTTCAATGAAACATTATATATTTATATCGAACATTTATTAAATGGGTATCAGCAAAAATAAGATTAACAAAACTTAGAGCTCTATTAAACAAACACAAAAGAATCTACTAAAACATTAATTGCAATGTGTGAAACTTTAAAACTATACAAAGCACACATATACATGTGGGCATACTCACACACACACACACACACACACACACACACACACACATATATACATACACAAAATGTGCAAACGTTGACTTCAAAAAGTTCATGGGAAAATGGAATTAAAAAATGTTTCTGTTGGGGCAAAAAAACTAAAATTATGCACTGTTTGTTTATGATACACATTTTCCATTACCTTCTGCTGAACTTTCACATACATAGATTTCAAAAATTTATTTTCCAAAACTTAAACCTATCTTTCAGTTCCATTTTCCATAAACTTTTTGAAGCACCCAAATATTAAGCTCCATGCAACATGTAACTTCAGGCTACTACATGGGTAATAAATCAGTATTGGTAATTCCATCTATTCTTGGCACATACACTCAAGAATATAAAAGCTTCTAGAAACTGGATATCCCAAAGCACCCTGGAATGTTTGAAGATACTTCTAATTCCTTTATCTCATACCACCACCAAAATACATGTGGACAATGATTTTACAACTACTGAAAAGTGGTAATAGCTCATCAGGTACAAATGGCAAGACAACAAAATAAAGAAGAGAGTTCTGTTTAAGAGTGGTACGGCAGCAAACTGATTATAGACCAATTCACCAACTAAGTCCCAAGTGAAAAAGGAGATCCCACTAATACCTAAAAATATCAGTAGAAAACTGAATTACAAAGACATAATGAAAGCCGTTCAAACAAGAGCTAGACTTTAAAGTTTAATGGCAGGCATAAAATATGGGTGTACATATGTTTACTTAATTTCCTGAGCACTTTCTTTTGTATGTTCAGTGAATTAGTTAAAAGTAAAGATGAAACAAAACATAAAATCCAGAAACAAAACCATTAGAGAGATAATATAATTCTGAAGACAATCAGAAAAGTATCACTTTAAGAGTACTGCAGTACAGTGAGCTTTTACGCATTAAGGGAAAAGCCAGGATACAAGAAATACTGATGGCTATATTATCACAAAAATCAGGAAAATACAGTCCATTATCAGTTTTTGTGTGAGCTAAGAATTCATTTTCACAGACTTGTAGCTAGTTTCAAGACAGGAAATACTAACTTTGAATCCCAATTAATAGACGTGCTATGTGCCGCATGCAAAATCATGATTCTGATGAAGTACCACCCCTTACCACAAAACAAACCATCCAACCATCATATTTTTCAAATGTACAGATGTTTCTCTTTAGTTATTTAGGCACTCATATGAACTTCCTTGATTTTTGTCTATTGCATACAAAGTCTAAAAATATCTTACCCCTTGTAGGAAAACTTTGCTAACTTATGCATTAGCACATGATTTTAAATAATGGACGTATAGGTAAATCAGCTCTTGAGAAATAAAAGACAAATTACTCAAATTCAGATCTGACTGTAATATTTAAATAAAAGAAGTACTTTTGTTCACAAAGGGTAGCAGTAAAATTTGACAGGGAAAGATGATTACTGCTCCCTGCTACGGAAAAAAAAAAAAAAAACCTGCATACCATCATGGTCTCAGTTGTAAATATTTATTTGTGTGTGTTTTTAAAATTTATTTTAAAAGAGTGATTGAGAGAGACACAGAGACAGAGATCTTTCATCTGTTGGTTCACCTCCCAGGTTACAATAGCCAAGGCTGGACTAGGCTAAACTCAAGAGCCGGGAGCTTCATCCAAGTTTTCCAAGTGGGTAGCAAGCTGGGCCAGCTTCTGCTGATTGCCCAAGCCATTAGCAAGGACGTGGATTGAAGTAGACCATCAGGAACATGAAACGATGTCCATATGGGATGCCAGTGTCACAGGCAGTAGTTTTCCAACTACGCCACAACACTGGGCTCAAATGTAAGTTTTGAGAAAATTAAATAGCTACTAAGGAAGAGCACTAATCCCACACTGTACCCACACACACAGACACCCATCAGGATCATCTCTAATGAAAACACTTCACGGAAAGAAGTAAAAAGACCTTAAATTAACTTAATCATGGACCTAGGCTCAACTGGTGGAAGTAACCAGAGAGTCTAGGCTCGGTATATAAAAACTGAATTCAAGCTGTACAAATACAGAATTGGCTATATTCCTAAGCAGCAACTTGATGCCGAGAGGCATTCAGGGAAACAACAGAAAGTCATCTGCCAGGAAGATAACTTCATGGCCTTTTCACTGTATGTGAAGGAAGGGTCTAAATAACTTCTAAGGACACATTAAATTTCACAATTGTGTGGAAAATTTGGGAAACCACAAATAAAGTCTCAAAGACAGTTGGCATTATATGAATCCATCTAATAGTGCAAACGCAGGCAATTTATTTTCTTTAACTAGAAATTCTGTTTATATCAATAATCTACCCATACACACATTCATTTTTCATCTTGCAATGTTTACATACTGAAAAATTATAAAGTTCTATGTACTCCCCTGAGTGTTAGCAGAGAAAGCATGTTGAATAAAAAGGTACACTTTTTGCTTTTATTTGCTTTACATTTTAGTGAGCCTACTCCTTTCTAAGTACTTTTAAAAATACATCAACTTAAAATTTATTTTTCTTTTCATTTGTTATTTGCATGAAACAGAGAAACAAAAACAAAGAGAAATCTTACAACCATTGGTCCTCCAAATGCATCTAACAGCCAGGGCTGGATTAAGTCTGAAGTACGGAGCCAGAAACTCAATTTGGGAATGTCATTTAAGTAGTAGGCATCAAACCACTTGAGCCATCATCAGCTGCCCCCACAGGAACAAACACATCAGTACAAAGCCAGGACTGGAAGTAGGAAACTTACACTCAGGCACTCTGATATGGGAAGTAGGTATCCCAAGCTGTATTTTAACTTTCAACATCAAACACTTGTCCCAATACACCTATTTCTTGATCAGATACACAAAACAACTTTTCCAGAAACATACAACACAAAAACAGTTAAATTAGAAACCAAAAGGTTGGTGGCCTCTTACAAACCAAAACTTGTTATTGTAACTAGGTCACTTCCTAGATTTTTTTTTTAATTGTGTGGTGTGATCCTTTGTGTATGTAATATTATTATAACAGAACCAAAATTCCTTCCAGTTAAAAAATTTAGATTAAACCTTCTCACCTTGATAATTTCCACCAACTGATCCACACCACTGTCTCCTGGAAATATTGGTTGGCCTAGCAACAGCTCAGCCAATACACAGCCTGCAGACCACACATCTGAAGAGGAAAGAAAACAAATGCTTATTTGCATTTTGTAGATTCAGTTTTTAAATGTTTATGCACATTTCCTAACTTTTCTTGATTATAAAGTAAATATAAAGATTGAATAAACCAAGACAGAAAAGTAATAAAGCTTCAATGCATTTTAAAATTAAGCATTAAATATGGTAAAGAGCAAATCAGGCCCCTAAATATATTACAATAGGGGCCAAAGATGTGACATAACAAGTTAAACCATGGAATCCGGCAGCCGCATCCCATATGGGTACTGATTTCAGACCCAGAGCTCCACTTCTTCCTGTGTAAGAAATGAAGATAGCCCCCAGTTCCTTGGGCTCCTGAACCCATGTGGGATATCTGGAAAAAGCTCCTGGCTCCTGGCTTCAGCTTGACCCAGCCACAGCTATTATAGCCTTTTGGGGAGTTAACCAACTTAGGGAAGATCTCCCTGTAATTCTGCTTTTATAAATACATAAATAAATCTTAAAAATGCATATTATATTAAGGTTAAAGCCTATTAACGGCAAACATTGGGTTTTCATTTCTTCAAATAGCAAAACAAGAAATCAGAGTAGTATCAGAATAGTATCAGAGTGATGACATGACTACTTACACTTGAAAGTAAATGAGACACAATCTGCACATTAATAGGTACTCACAGAGAGGAATTAAGAAATCTTCCATACTCATTGGGTTTTAAGCCAAACTAAACTGTCAGAAAAATTTTAAAACTTTAAATGACTGACTTTTATGTTCAAAGATCAGGACAGAAAAACGTGAAAAATGTGCTTAAATGCAAAGGAACGGTAAAGGAAGTATGAATTTTATTCCATGAATGATAAAAATAATGCACTTTTAAGTCAAAGCAAAATCTCTAATCCTTGGGGGCCAGGGCTGTGGCATAATAGGGTCAGCCTCCACAAGTGGCACTGGCATCCCATATGAGCACTGGTTTATATCCAGCTGCTTGAATACAGATCCAGCCCCAGGCTTCTGGCTGGGAAAGCAGAGGAGGATAGCCCAAATCCTTGGGTGCCTACACCCATGTGGGAGACCCAGAAAAATTTCCAGGCTCCGTCTTTGATTGGCTAAGTTCTGGCCATTAGCCATTTGGTGAGCGAAATAGCAGATGGGAGATCTCTTTCTGTAACCCTGCCTTCCAAATAAAAATAAAATAAATCTAAGAAATCTGTCGTGTTTAAAGAAAACTTTAAAAAATTAGTATTTTATTAATAAATAAATGCATTAAGTTACAAAGATTTAAAGTGCATTGCTGGCCTACTCAGGATATTTTCTGCCCTGTCTCTACTGTCCTGACATGACTGTTATATTAACAATATATTCTTTTTCTCTCTTAGTTCTACCAAGATCCAGTATAATGGTATAGCATATTATGCTCTCTGCCTGAAATGCCAACATCCCACTGAGTACCAGTTCTACTCTGAGACGTTCCATTGTTGATTCAGCTCCCTGATAGAAAAGAGCCAAACTGCTAGGGTCCTGGAACTCTTGTGAGAACTGGATGAAGCTCCTGGCTTTGGCCTGGCCTAGCCCTGGGTATCATGGTCACGTGGGGAATAAACTAGTGGTGACTAGAGGCACTCTAATTCTGGATATTAAGGTTTCCTGCTAGAATAGCTGCTTCTCAGTTTCCAGATTCCTAAATTTGTATCTATGCTCAATTACTTTAGGAAGATGGCTGCGAATCATTGCTAGGATTTCCAATCTACAGTAGGGAAGAGAGTGGCATGGAGACAATTTAGAGTTCTGATATGGTGAGATGAAAACTTTGTTCCAGTGAGTATTTTTTTTTACTGACCTAGAAAAATGACAGAAAAGTCATTTAGAAAACATGTTGATTTTGCCCAGTACCTTTTCTGCAAATGAAGTAAATAAAAGAAAATCTGCTAAGGACTTTTTATGTGAGTCAATATAAAGATATTTCCATTTTTGATCAAATCTAAATAATTACAACTCCTTATTAATCTAAATTATCTACTTTGACCTAAAGTTTAAAATATCCTTTTACTTAGCTAATTAAAAAGAAAGTAATATGCACTCACTTCTTTGCTCTTTATTAGAGAATAATTCCTCTCAGAAGACAAGGCTGGAAAAATTGCAGAGGAATAATTATGCATTCATATAAACGTGAGAAACACTTTCTTATGCAGTACCCTGCTACAAATGTGGAAGGTGGGCAAAACATCAAGGAATACTATTATCTAGTAGCTATTATTGATAATTAATAATCAAAAGCTTCAGCTGACAACTGTATTAGTCATCCCCAATTCATAATCAGTCAACTTACTAAGAAGGCATATATTCTTTCTGGGAGATACTAAAAATCTCTTCTCTTACTTTATAGCACAAATGGATGACATTCTTTAAACTGAATAAAACTTCAACCATACAGAAGGGTTGAAGTCAGGCTAGTGCACCAGATTTCTGAGGTGCAAGACAAAATAACTTCCATGCTTACTTTTTTTTTTCTACTTGTTTATTTGTATTGGAAATGCAGATATACAGAGAGGAGGAAAGACAGAGAGGAAGATCCTCCATCCGATGGTTCACTCCCCAAGTGGCCACAATGGCTGGAGCTGAGCCAATCTGAAGCCAGGAGCCTCTTCAGGATCTCCTATGAGGGTGTAGTGTCCCAAAGCCTTGGGACATCCTCAGCTGCCTTCCCAGGCCACAAGCAGGGAGCTGGATGGGAAGTGGAGCTTCCGGGATAGAACCGGCACCCATATGGGATCCCAGTGCTCAAGGTGAGGATTTCAACCGCTGCTACACTATCGCACGAGGCCCCCATGCTTACTTTCACAGTGTTTAAGATTATCTAGCTTAACACACTTTAAAGACAAAAAATAATTAGATTTAAAGGTGAAGCTACTGAATACGGCTTAGACTAGGGTCCATTTCTAATTCCAGTAAAGACAACAATGTTTTGAGTAACTGTCTCAGTGTTACAGAATAACAGCTTCTTAAAAGCTCAATTCACTGTGTTAATCAACCCTTTATTTTCATTCTGCTATTCAGCTTTATATCTATTTACATAGAGAGATGCCCTCAGCAAGTCCATGAAAAATGTGTATTCTGAAACACATGGCATAGGTTTCAAACATATTTTGTTTCAAAATAAAACTTTTAATTTATTTTCTATGTATTTGAGAGGCAGGGAGAGGTCGGGGGTGAGGAGGACACAGAGAGAACTAGACAGGAGAGTGACTCCATCTACTGGTTCACTCCCCAAAAGCCTGCAATATCAGGGACTGTGCAAGGGAACTCAACCCAGGTCATCAGTGTGGGTAGCCGGAAACCAATTACTGTAGCCATCACTGCTAATGGCTGGATTTGGGAGCAGAGGATATTACACCCATGTTATTTGGATCAAGATGTGGTAATCTTAACTACTAGACTTAATGATCACTCCTAAGCTAACCTTTTAATTTCATTTCCTATGAACTTTAAAAAATAAACTGCTTTTATTTTAAGGGACAGTAGTCCAATTTATCCCAGTATCTTGGATTTATATAACCTGTATCATAAACCCGAACAAAATATAAAACAAATGGAAAGACCCGTAACACCCATAAAGACACAGGTTGAAATTTATTCTAGAGGACAGCTAAGTTAACAAACACAATAGCTTTATGTTTCCAAGAAACACAACATAGTACTTTATGTTGCCAAAAGTACTTTCACTAACATTTAGTCATTAGAGTACTTAGAATGTAGATAGAATTTAGTCCTGTCTCCATTTAACAGCTCGGCTAGTAGCAATAAACCTGAGGTCAAACTAATCACTCTTTGTACAACTTTTCATTTGTTCCTTAATAAACACCAACTATCACAAACATGAATAGATTTTAGCATGACACAGCATACACATAATTCCCCTCCTCTAGTGAAGCAGAGCGCAAGGCACGATCTGTACAGCCCTGTAACGTCTAGACCCATCTTAGGAAAAAAAAGCAATTTAAGAGTATGCCTTCTCTACTTGTGTTAAAATTCACAATGACGGTGAAAAAAAAAAAATGCTGCGTGAAGAACTGTTAGCCCTAGACTCTAGCAAAATGTTCTCTGGCATTCTGCCTCTTGGCAAAATACAAATAATATACTTCTATTTAGGGATATTTCTCTAGAAAAGAGAATTTCTACCTGTATCAGGAAGCAAAAAAATTGCCAAGTTATAGTTGTTGTTGTTGGTTTTTTTTTTTTTAGTTTTTTTATAATGTGGAATATTTTGGCCTATATATTCATTTTTTGTGTGGCTGTATAAAAACTTACATACTAAGGAACTCCCTCACACACAATGTTTAAAAGTAAAATAATTTGGTGTCCACTTACATAACCCTGGCCTGAGGTAATTAATTCAATCTTAGCTTTTTGTCTATGCCCAGTGGACCACATTCGCTATGATAAATTCTAGCTAGAAGGTTAAAAGAGGATAAAAGAAGCCAAAGATTGAAGATAACTGTTTATCAGTACACATCTCTGTTGCAGACGTCTACAGAATTAGTGGATTCAATTTACTAGAAATTCATGATGAGTTAAAATTTTAACAAACCAGCATGGTAGAAATGTCAAATATATGATTGCCCTACCATCACATGTAATGTTAATTGTGATGCTACGTTATATGTCATGTCACATCATGTCACATCATATGTCATGGCATGTCCAATGCCAGCACCCACATCAGAAGGGGTATAAAACCTTTGTCTCTGCTACTCGGCTTCTTTTTCCAACTTGTGGTCTTCTCTCCTGCTTGTTCCTCTGCTGTGCAGGGAAAGGCCCAGGAATGGACTTCTTTTTGCTTAATAAAGGCCTGTTTGTACCTGGCCGTTGTTTTTTCTTTCATGGCTGGTTGGTAAATCTAACATTTTGGTGCTGAAACCTGGGCGGTGGGTTTTAGACTCCACCTGTGGAGCCTGAGTCTCCCCACTCCTCTCCAAGCCACTGACCTCCTGGAACATTTGCCAGCTCCACACAGCTGT